TGTCTAAAGTAGCGGCCTCACTAGTGAATTGCAAGTCACGCTCAGTAACTCTGTTGCAAATGGGGTCTAGCATTTTGGAAGGGGTTATGGAACTAGAGGTAAAGGAAGATTGGAGGAGTCCCATACGGTATTGGCTGACGCAAGCAGCATTGGGACAATGGGATGTTCGGGCTGACAAATTGGGTCGAAGGGCCTTGAGAATTTTCTTCCAACAGGGAGTTTTGTTCAAGAGATCATATTCGGGGCTGCATCTGCAGTGTGTCTCAGGGGAAGAAGGAGATTACGTGCTCAGGGAGATACATGAGGGTTGCTGTGGAGATCACATTAAGGCTCGGGCCTTGGGGGGGAAGGCGCTAAGAGCGGTTACTTTTGGCCAACCATGAGAGCCATGGCGAGGGAGTTGGTCCAGAAATGCTTGAAATGTCAACAGCATGGGCAACTCGTCCATGTACCAGCGGAGGAGTTAACGCCCATGAGCTCACCCCTGTCGTTTGCTCAATGGGGGATGGATATAGTAGGGCCTTTTCCACAAGGGTCTGGCCAAAGAAAGTTTTTATTGGTTTTGGTGGATTACTTTAGTAAATGGGTGGAGGCTGAGGCAATGGCCAAAATCACTAAGGAGAAGGTCATCAAAGTCTTGTTTACTAACGTCTGTTGCAGGTATGGCATCCAGCGGGTTCTAGTTTCTGATAACGGCCCACAATTCCGTGGACGAAAGATAAGGTCTTGGTGTGAAGAGATGGGCATTAAGCAGCATTTTCCATCTGTAGCGCATCAACAAGCAAACGGGCAGGCCGAGGTGGCCAACATGACCATATTAAGGGGTTTGCAGACTAGGCTTGACAAATCTTCTGGTGCATGGGTGGATGAGCTCGACACAGTGCTTTGGGCATTCGAGTGTTGTGCAAATTGATGTAATGGCTTAAGTCCGAGCTTTTGTGAGTTCGGGTGCTGTGCAAATTGATATAACGGCTTAAGTCCGAGCTCTTGTGAGTTCGGGTGC